TTTTTTTTTTTTTTTTTTTTCGAATTTATTACAATGGTTATTACAATGGATTTTATATTCGAGAGACACAGATTAAAAAGTAAGAACAAACTTAATGACAAGTTCATTTCGACTACGTCTCAGTTCGTTCAATTCTAATCCAATAAATCGTCACTATGGTTGTTTTCGTAGAATTTGAAGAAGTCATTTCTGCCAACGCCGCAATGGGGCCCCAGAGAAGTCGAGCACAGAGAAGCTTGGCTCCGCTTCAGAGAGGAAAATTTGAAAAAGAGAAACGCCAGGACGGAACCTAAGTGGCTCCAGTTAATATACATTTTAATTCGTAGGAACCACAAGAAAGATTAGGGACCTTCGTACGATGTGTCTTCTCGTGCGAGGGATCAATTTTAGACTGCCGTGTGTTTCTGCATTTTTAGGTCATTTTTTGACACGTGTGACACATGTACGAAGTGTATTTGACACGCGAAAGTATAATATTTATTAAGTGTGGGATTTATTAACTTCCTCACTCGTAGAAATACAAATTTGCACAAACATTCGCAGTCAAATTATCATACGTTTCTCGGCTTGCTTCGATTCTTAAGTCTGTATGTCTCTCATTGAAGCAAGATACGAATTCAATATTTATTTGTGTAAGATGTTAATATTTGTGATACACAGTGTCTTTATTAAATCAATAAAATGTCGCCGTTCTTGTTGACAGTGCTTGATAATAACAATCGAGACAAAGAGCATCAAAATCCCTGGGATATATATATATATATATATCTTTTTTTCGATAGCACGATCATTCTCAATCCTCTCCGATCAACAAAGCAACGATCCTCGATCTTTTCTTGTCCAAGCTCATCCTCGCGATCCTCTTCGAGTCTTTGAATTCCTTCCATTCTTTGTACTTGGTGGGATCCTTTGGTCCCCAATCGGGATTCGGTTTAAGCAACTACGAGGGGGGTTTTTATTTTCATACTATTTTCATACTAGGGAATTTTACTTTCATACAATGCACATTGTTATCAAATTATGTTGGCACTTGGTCACATGTTTTTCGTTACTTACGTCCAAGCAAGATTTCTCCTTGTTTTTCATCTTACTGACGAGCATCCAGATTGGAAGTTGAACCACCCCCAGCCCCAAAAGCAACCAGCCAGCCACTGAAAAATTCAATTGAAATTTCCAGAAGAAACGAGATATCGGACAATTGAGATGATTGATAGATTTCTTCTTTTGTGCTTGTGTCGAGGGTGGGCCAAACGTTTCTTCCCATTTATTTTTTTTTGCTTTTTAAAACTAATTTATCTATCTTAAATCAAATTTAAGTTTAAATATGATTTTTTTTCCATTAAGTTGTAAAAATTATCTCTTTCAAATGTTTCGACCTCCAGAATTATTTTAACAATAATCAATAGACTTCTGGCCGACCGTGGAGCCGTAGAATTTGCTGTACCATAGGCGGAAGTTGGATAATATTCGTCGTTGTACGTGATGGGCGTCAGCTCGCAGAGGAAGTAAATAAGAATCGAGAGGAGCGTCAACGGTGTTAGAAAATACCAGCAGAACCTCCAGTAGAACGAGGGTCTGTTGCCCAGCATAAATTCTGCATCGTCTAGAAAATTGTCGACACCTGCGAGGAAAATGAAGCGAGATATAAAGCAACCAGCTTCAATATTTCGTCGGAAATGTGTGTCTTCTATAAAGGCAAAGAGAATTATAACAAGAACGAAGGTATTCACCGTATATCCAGGAAATAGCGACCAGTTCGAAAGAAGCCAGGAATACTATGACGAACGTGCCACCGAAATAGTCTACCAAGTTCAGGATGTATTGCCCGCCCTGAAAAGAAATTCAATCGCGATTGAACACACAGGCTGATACAGATAAAAACTTCTAACTTCTTTTTATTAATAGTTAAGAGAAGAATACATTTTTTAAGGATAATACCAAACGACTAGTAAATTTCTTTTCAGCTATACAAATTAGCTATATCATCTTGTAGATACAGACATGTTCAAAATTTGCCTACAAAAAACTTTGTGACAAAGCTTTGTAATGAACGAAGTTCATGCAACATTCTCTTCTTATGTTCATTTGTAGATTATGCTTCTGCAACTTTGCCGGGAAAGTCAGTACGAAACACGTTTCTCTGTATGAGAAACGTTGCACACTTACTCTCGTGCAGTAAACGATTCCAACGAGAAAGCCAACAGAGCAAACGCCACCAGCAATCTTCCAGTCTTGGAGATGAGGGAATCTGTCCTTAATAACGCTGTTGATGACAGCGGTGAACGCCACGCTGGTACCTATGCCCAAGATAAACAGCATCAGGAAGAAGAGCACGGCGAACAATTGTGGGACCACAGTGAATTTCGCCAGGGCTTCCGGATATGAGATAAAAGCTAAACCTGTTCCGGCACGAACCACGTTGCTGATGTCTTTGTCAGACTCGTGAGCGAGATTGCCCAGAATACCGAAAATGGTTGTCCCTGCTATCAGGCTTGTGCCCAAGTCCAAGGTTGTCACTACCGTGCAATCTCTAAAAAAAAGAAAAGAAAACATTTTCTTCATAAATATATGAAAATTTCATTTGCTTCTATCGACTATGGCACTATAAACTTTTGCAGAGTTTCTATATATTGTAACTCGTCAACTTTTTCGCAAATTTGTTTAGCCTCAAATTTTTATTCAGTTTGAAAATTTTTATCTTAAACGTTCAAGTTCCAAATTTTTACATTGTTAGGTACCTGAGTTCTTGCGGTGATCAAGATTGAAAATAAATCCTTCATCATCGTATGAGAAGGATATTTTAGAATTTAGAATGGAGATACGTACGGCGGATGTTATCCAGGATCATAATTACCTCAATATGTTATGGTCGAAGCGATTGTAGGAGGAATACATGACAACAGCCCCGAAACAGACTCCGAGGGAGAAGAAGGATTGCGTCACGGCTGCATACCATACTGACGGGTCGAGAATCTTCTCCCAGGTTGGCTCAAACAGGAATATTATTCCGTCGACCGCTCCTTCCAACGTGACTGCCCTTATCAAAAGAGTTATTATGATCACGTATGGAAATATAGCGAGGAAGTACGCTGCTTTCCCGCTGCTCTTCACGCCCTTGCTCAACACTACGAAAACAGACGTCCAGCTGACGAACAGAGCGAGGACCAATTGCCACGACGGAAGTCCCAAACCTTCCTGTATTCCAGTTTCGTTAAGAACTACCTTGCTAGACGAACGAAAGTATAGAATTAATTTTGACAGAAAAACAGTAGAAAACTTTGGCAAACTTGTCATTTGTAACTGGACAAGACAACAATATTTGCAATATTTATTGCAATATTGTGAGATTGTTTATCAGAAGCACAAGTCAGCAGAGATACTTTTGCTACTAATATTTACTACTATGTCTCGTTATTAGTAGGAGCATAGTACAATTTTGGCAAAATTATCATTTGTAATTGGATAAGGTAACAGTCTTGCAATGTTTATTGGAAGATTGTTTGACTGTTTATCAGAAGCACAAGCCAGCAGAGATACTTTTGCTACTAATATCTACTATTATATCTCGTTATTAATAGAAGCATTATTAGTAGAATTTTGGCAAAATTATCAATTTTAGATGGATAAGGTAACAGTCTTGCAATATTTATTGTGAGATTGTTTGACTGTTTATCACAAGTCAGCAGAGCTACTTTTGCTACTAATATCTACTATTATATATCTCGTTATTAATAGTAGCATTATTAGTAGAATTTTGGCAAAATTATCATTTTTAACTGGATAAGATGACAATCCTGCAATGTGTGTGTGTGTGTGTAACATATATATATATAAAATTATTTGGTCGTTTACCGAAAGTACAAGTCAGCAGAGCTACTTTTGCTACTAATATTTGCTACTATCTCGTTATTAGTAGTTGAAGCACTGTCGAAGCAGATGTCCTTCCACTCTTCCCAGCAGTAGGCCCAAGGAAGAACTGATTGGAAACTAGCTGACAAATAATACAACGTCAGTGCCATCAGAGAACAATAGTACGTGACTACTGAGAAAACAGAGATCGTCAAGCCATAGCCAATGCCTGAGAGAGAAAGAGAGAGAGAGCAGAAGTTGAAAATTGTTAGTGCTATGACCAGTGAAGCTCAGATTTTAAACAAAAGGTTAATGCTATTACCTCTGAAAAGCGGCGAGATGGACCAGATTTTTATGCAAGATCTGCTGCTAAATTGTCCCAGTATCATTTCCATGTAGTAGATCGGTTTGCCAACAATGAACAAGACGATCACGTATGGCACCAGGAACGCACCACCACCGTTTTGATAGGCAGTGTATGGGAATCTCCAAACGTTTCCAAGGCCAACCGAGAATGCAACGCAGGACATCAAAAATTCCATTTTGTTAGTCCACTGAGCCCTTGTAGGTTTCTCCTCCACTGTGACTGTCGTCGACTCTGACTGAGAAGATAAGATCTTTTTCTAAACGTTTATTAATATAGTTTTTTTTTTTTTTAAACTCGACAGTAAGACAGTAGTAGTAGACAAAAATAATATTGTCGTACTATGAGAAGCTTTCTGTAAATTCTAACAATCCAATCCTGAAATTTAGAATTCTCGTGAATGTGTAAAAATTAATCAAAGCAGTGGGCATCACAGAAATACTTTTTAGCGATCGACGTAGTGTAAGAGCAAGACTCACTACTCCATTCTCGAGTGGTTTTCCAGTTCCTGACATCATAGAAAGCTTGTACGAGCCTTCCACACTATCGTTGTTCTCGATGAAATTATTCTATAAATTAAAAGAAAAAGCTTTGATCGCCTTGCTGTCGTTATTTTACAGTTTCCATTGATGCCGATTAAATTCTTTGTTAATCAGTCGTTTACGTAATCGTATAACTGCAACGAATGTTTTTCTCGCGCTTTCGTGCAAATGTGTGTGGTGCAACAATTATTGCCAGATATAAATCTGATAGCAAAGAAGAACAAAACGTCGTGTTTTTAATCTACGACTCCATCGAATAATAGCAAACGAAAATTCTTTTCTTGATCAATATATAATGATTTTCCTTCATTTTTTTTCTCTATTTGTCTATCTATTCATTTCAATATATTCAATGTATTTTCTGTTTAAATACAGGTAATATTAACACTAACCAAAGTGGTCAAAATGATCAATTTATATGTTCCATTGTATTATAAATTTCTCTATTTTCTTCTTCTTTTTTTGATTTGAATATCTCTGATGAAAATGTTATGCTTTAAACATTATAGTTCTAGTGTTAATAATTTTATTAATAATGTGCTAGTATTATTAATATTAATGTGTGATATTATTGCAATGGTATTGTTAAACACAATGGAATTCTATTGTGGAAATCAATAATTTCACCATAAAAAAATTTGTAATCAATAGCACACAGAAGTGGACTCTAGATCAAAGATTTGTTTCATTTTGTAAAAAAAAAGTTTTATATAATTCCAAAACTTTTATGCGGTTCCAATATGCAGCATGAACCATGTTGATTGTCTTGAATGTCTTTGTTGTTTCTGAAGATATGAAAAAACTTTGTCAACAAATATTGTTTGGGCCATAAAATGGCAGTAATAATTTTTTTCTTTACACGGAGGAGTTTCAAGCTCATTTCCACTTATAATTCCAATGAAATTATATATCTTTTTGCTCTATTAATCGATGCAACTCAATATTCTCTATAGGAAAGTATTAATCTATGTATGTTGAAAAACTATTTTTCTTTAATGATCTTAATTTTGTAAAACCTTAATTTTGTAAAAACTTAATTTTGTTGTCTATGAAAGACAAAGACAATATGTTTTGTGTTGATATTGTCCTTGTCTTTCATTGAGACTTCCAGAGTTGACTAACTTGGCTGTTAAGATAAAAAAATCGCTAAGACATCAATAAAAGAATTTACAGCTGCAATTTAGATTAAGTTGCTGCGAGATGTTCCACATTTCATAGAACGAATTACAAAACATTATATATCTTTCTATGCACCTATTGTTATAATATTTAATAACAATGATAGAAACAATACATGAAAATGAAACTTTCGTCGTCTCAAAAAAATTGACAGTTGACACAAACATATTTTTCTTATCGTGTGCAACGATATTTGTAAAAATAATTTTGCTAAATAATCACTAAGAGTAAGAGTGAATTTTATAAGTAAACTTTTTTTTTTTCTTTAGTTTGGACCAGATTCGGAGAGGTAATGAAATAAACAGATCAAATGAGAATTACACACCTTTATGCAACGCATAATCACTCCTGCACACGGATAAACTGCATAAATCGTACCGAAATAATCTAAGCGCGATCTTTGCTACACAAGAGCGTTTGGAAGACTGATCGACACCTTTGTCTTCTCTCATAGACATCGTGTGCCGTGAGAAATCTTGAAAATGACAGCTATACAACCACTATATTATCATTTTTTTTTCGTATTCTTCGACCATGGATTTTCTTCGCTTTTTCTCTCCTCCCTTTATCTTATCGAATTCCCTCGAATTCTTTGAATTTCTAAATAAAATTTCTAGATAGAATAAACTGGAAAAAGAATTTTTTTTCCATTTTAATTATAATCATGTAACAATTCGTAATTTTTGAATTTACTCCTCCCGTCTCTCCCTGTCTCTCCCCGGTTTTACAACTCAATTTATGAGTTAATTTATTTATAATCTTCAAATTTCATTCGGAAAAAGAAAATCGATGCCTTAGGGTTTTGTAATTTCAGCAGAAATTAAAAGAAAAAGCGGGAAAAATTAGAAAATCAATTAGAAAATTTATACATTTCATAGGGAACGCTAGATTAAATACTATTCATAGAAAATATTAGGACTTGCACGTTGTGCAATTAAATCAGAGAGTGATTAACGATCGCGGGTACACGTCATGCTCCCTCATTCGTAAATAAAACAGAACTGGACACCTCTGTTGGGCAAAACTGTACGAAAGTTTACACTAGCAATTAACAACACCTCGTTACGTACTGGATTGTATTTGAAAATATTCGACTTCGCGACGGATTTTGCAAACCGAATGCGTCGAATGACCCATAATATAAACTCACGAATAGTCAGTTATATAAACTTTTATTGTTATACAACACGATCGACTGGCTTTCATTAGTAGTCTCAAAAGGAATTCTTCTCTATGTATATGTCTCGCTAATTATTGAAAAAGAAAAAAGAAGGAAGAAACAATCATTGACAAAGAAAAGTGTACTGACTTTTATTTTCCACGTTCCACGAGTAAGTTTAAGAGTGCTTTTTCCACGTTGACTCGTTACCAATGGTAATTACTATGAATGCTTTGACCTCAATGGACATTAATAACAGATCTATCAATTCCAGTGAAACATCAGATTGCACTATTTCTCCCGCGATTTGTCAACTTATTTTAGACACGTAATAAATGTCGTTTCGATTCTGGAACGTCTAGAAACATTTGGAAAATGAAATGTTCAATTGAAATGGACACAATGGATGTGAATGGACATACGCATCGAGGAACTTGTGAGAAGGGGAGAGATAGTCTTGGCACGTAGATTTCGTTGTTTTATTGTTTACTTTAAAAAAGTTTCGACGAAACCACCGCGATACTGGAAGTTCTTTTCAGCTATGAACTCCTTCCATTCCAGTCGAATCTTAGGATCGTTCGGTCCCCATTTCTCTTCGCAGGGCCTGAACGCTGCTTTCACAGTCTGTAGAAAAAAAAAAAAAAATCCATTTGATTAAATTTCACAGAAGCTGGGAGAGACTGGGATATATATATATATA